TGAGGAGCAGATTGGAGCCAGGAGATTCATTGCGTTCTCCGCTTCTTGAGTCACGGTGTGCAAAGCCAGCCTTAGAAAGATTGTAGCTGGTCTGGATCTTTGGGGATGAGGGTTCCGTATGGAGTGCATTTTGTAAAGGACATCCAAGGTACAAAAATCCTGCAGCCCCATTGAAGTTCATGGCCTCCTGGTCTACATCCCAATCAAATGATGCACATTGAAATCCCTGGCGATACCTCAAAATGCAGCTGCAGAGGTGAGGCCATCAAAAGGGTACCACACATTTGCTTGCTTGATGTTTCATTGAGACCAAACCTATATAGTGGAATCTAGGTACCAATGCTTTGTTGTTTTTCCAGCTCCGGCAAAAATCTCAAAGAACTGGATGGGTTTGGGCGGCTTCTCAAACCCGCTCCACGACAAAAGCAGGACCTGTAGTAAGTGATGGTAAGCGCAATCCCGCAATCCTTTTAATGGTCCATGGATTTACTTTAAAAGACTGGCACATAAGGACCTGACGATGGCCACTAAAGCCTAGGCCGAGCAAAAGAATGGCATCATTGTCCAGGTTTGCGTGCACAGTCTTTTTTGGGATGTCCAATGCATGCTACTAGATGATACTACATGTAGGCAGGAGACCTTGGGGCATCCCAGTTCCATCAAATTGTGCACAAGAGAAGGCATTGCCACCAAGTGTCGACTGCAATATGTTTGGAGCCAAAAATCTTTGGTATAGTATCGCACAGAGTTCAAAACGTTCAAAAGCATATTGCATGAAACACACCCTTCCAACTGAACGAAGAGTGCCACACTGTGTGCTAGGAGGCTGGGCACCTGCACTTTGCGCTCGAGCCCACCAAGTATACGATCTTCTCCCCATCGGCCTGGCACTCAAGTGGTCAGCTGCCATGGTGAAGTTTTGATCAATCGATCATGAGCAATCTGATCACGAGAACCAATTTTTGGGGGGTTCCTCTCAACTTCTGCTGGAGCATAAAAAGATGCCAGAGTGAGTGCAAAGAATTTTCCGTCCACGCGGTTCCAAAGTGCTTTAGGGCACAAAAGGGTTCCCTGCCATCGTTTTGAAATGCAAGGTTCTAGCCATTGCCCCTACTCTACCAATTTAAATCTTCTGGATGCCACGACTCTATGCATGGCTTTGCACCGAGTACTGTTCACAGTACATGCACAGCCATCCCACCGCAACATGCGCCCCGCAGTTGCGGTCGCCCCTTAAGATCAAGCTTTCATTCTGCGGCTTTGTAGGCCTCAGAGTTGGCACAGGAGTGTAAATCAATTAAATCATATGCGGACTACCTGAAAGCACAAAACACCTCACGTGAACCATCACTTGCGCACACGCAGACTATTGCAGCTGGAGCACTGCACGTCCCAACTCCTTTTGTTCGTCCAGGCTCTTGCCTGCCTCCCGGGCAGCCTTCACGGCTTTGTGGTATGCTGAACTCTTTCGCGAACATTTCTGCTTGAACTCACCATCAGGCTTGGCTGCAGCCTTGGCCTTTGGCTTGGCTGCAGGTTTGGCCTTTGGCTTGGCTGCAGCCTTGGCCTTTGATTTGCCCGTTGGCTTTCGAGGCCGAGCGACCTTAGGGCGATCTGCAGACCCAGCAGCTTCCCCATCATGTGGCCCAGTGCCCTCACTGCCTACATCCATTGGTTCACCATCGATCTCTTCCATTTCATTCTTTGGGTCTTCAAGTGGAGCTGCCCGCTTGCGACTGGCTGCTGGCCTCTTGAATGCTGCTTTGGCCTTGCCCTTGGGTTTTTGCTCTTGGACATCAGCAGGCTTGGCTTTTGGCGGGCGACCTCTCTTAGCATTCGGGTCCTTGGGTGGTAATTGATCCTTTGGTGAGATTGGCATGACGCCATTCATGGCTGGTGGTGGCGGAATCTCTGGAATAGCACCAGCACTGTTGGGCTTCTCATTCCCATCTTTCTTGGCCTCCTCCTGGGATGTACTCTCTTTCCCTTCGAGCCCTTTCTCTCCGCCATTCCCAGCCTCTTGTTGCTCAACCTTGGCTGACACATCCTGTGGGGAAGCCTCGGCGTGAATGTCCTTCACGCCTTCCGCCACGCCTTTTTGATGAGGGTGGGCCACAGCCTCCTCACTTGTTGGCTTGACGATGACATCAGCAGGCTCTGCAGCAGACTTGCAACAAGGCTTGTAGTTGCCCCAACCCAATCCCATTCGCAAGTGTTCTGGCACCGACTGCTTTTCCTCCTCCTCCGGACTGAGTGCAGCCACAGGTCGTGCTGCTGCTTCGTCAGGGAGGTCCTTTTGGTCAGCAGGCTCCCAGGGTGATACCGGGGAACGAGCCCAAATGCTCCCCAAAGAAGCGGTGGTAGCAATGGATGCCTCGGAAAGTTTGCGTTCAGGTGGTGCAGGTTGATTGGGATGAACCATGACCGGCTTCGTCTCTTCACACATGTACAGCTGCGTCTCCACTTGGGTCTCCACATTGTCCAAACCTGATAACTTTGCGTGTCCAACTATTTTTAGATCAGCTAATATACATGCGTGATCCTGCGGGCATATCTTATATAAAGAAACGTGTTGTACCACTTTCGCTTTGAGGCTCCGACTGATTGCCGGCGCTGCCGCAATTGCCAGTGAGGACTTTGGTAGGGGAGTCCACTGTTTTTTTTCTGCATCAGCTGGTCCAAGTGCAGTTGCATTTTCTGAAGTTCACGTAACTGTTTCAGTTTTGCGGTTTCAACCTCCAACCGCTTTGCCACATCATCACCTTTCGATGAAGGGTCCATGGGACCACTTACACATGGAACCGCCTTCAGAAGGTTTAAGTCTTGAGCAAAGGCTGAACATACCCGACACTCAAACCCATCGGACTCCTGCTTCACCGAGTGGAAGTGGGGCTTATCCAACTTGTCCGGCGTGACCAGGGCAATTGGCACACCTGCCAAAAAAATGGATCCGGTTCTACCAGTCTAGATAGTGCTCAAAGGTTTAACTAAGCTCAACCCCTGTCTGTCCCAATCGAATCCGGTTGCCTCGTGGAGAAGGCGTTGACTTTGCGGTCGTTGACCCGCCATCACCTAAATTTTGAAGGTTGATCATCAAACATACAAGCCATGTGAAGGAGGCACAGCATGGCATGCAGACAAAGCACATGTCGAGGGTGTTGGGGACATTAATGTCGATGGCTTTCGCCTGACATCATCACCATCAGGACCACGTGGGAGCTCAACTTCGGCAGGCAGATCCGCAACACTATCCGTAACCTGGCACTTGAGGGCTGGTGGTGGATGGGGTTGAGGTGGCTGCGCATGATCCTCACTGGGTCGAAAGAAACGAAAGAAAACCACCATGACCTACCCTTTCCCACCTCAATGTCAATGTGTTCATCATCATCCAATGGTTCTTCTTCACCCCCTTCTTCGCCACACTCGTTGGTGGCCATGTTGTCCGCTGCCGCTTCATCAGCAGCTTCCCCTAAGATAACATCAAAGTTAGGGGCTGAATTCAGGGGGAGTGGAAACAGCATGAAACATCAGCAAATAAACACATGCAAGGAACCCTCTGGTAGCGGCACCCCCCCTGCAATGTACAATTCACGCATTGCAGGTTCGCGTGGAACGTGTGGCCTTCTAGCCGCACGGGCGAACTCGGTCACGAGTCGTCGTAGACCCCACGCGTGGCCCTTGATGATGCTTCCTGGGAAAAGGCAGCGGGTTGGAGAAAGACTGCGTGTGAAATGACAATGCTTTCCTATGACCAACGACAGTTTTCTCCATGAATGCTGCTATTATATGGTTGCATGCAAGGTTCCATTGACTGGTGGTTTTCCTCGAGGCCTCACTCTCCAAAAAAACTCCTCGACACACTGCTGGATCTGGTGTACTGAGGGTCGCATGCCTAGGCCGGGTACACTGGGCCAATAATTTAAATACTGTCCATGGTCCATGAAGCATATACAGAAGCAGTCATGCTGCACGAAACATGTTAAGACGAAGTGCCCAGTTCAAGGATTAGAGGCCCCAACAGCTCCGCGTTGTTCACAACGTCGCGCCGACACAAGTTAGCGTCTTTGCTAACATAGTGGATTAGATCACCTTTCTGTGCGAGAGTCACCAGCCATTCCATTTTTTCCCACTCTGCCGCAACTGCTCCCATGGCAGCCCGAAAACACCACAAAAAGCTGATCAGCAAGAAATGTTGCTCGAAAAGCGCTCATGTGACAAGTGCATAAACCTCTTGAAGTCACAGCTAGCAAAAGGCTGTGGCAACGTCATGCATTGACAAACAGGTCAGATCGACTTCCTTGAACTCCCCCACAAGAAAGCCAGTGTATATTCCCTCAGGCCCTGAGAGCAAACAGAAGGGTGATAGGTCACAAGTGGGATGCTCGATGGGCAAACCGTTGACCCATGGCAAACCCTGCCTTATCAGTCAAATCAAAGGCCAAAGATCATGCCACCATCATTGCGCGTCGTTGCGCCTGTCCGAGCTTGGGCATCTAAGGTACATTGGAGATGATCAGTGCACACTCAAACATACACCCCACCTCAAAGATACGGCGGCCCAAATCCCATGTAGCCAAAATGGCTGTTGGGGATCAGCAGAACCCACATTTCCGCGCGTTTCTCCAAAATGTGTTCGTTTCAGGCCCAAACAGATTTAAGCTACAAATCTCCATTGTACTCATTTTTAGGTGACGTTTGAAGCTCCTGGTATCGCTGGAGGTTCTTTTAGCTCGTAAACTCGATCTTTGCCTCGTGCAAAGCTGTCAAGAGATCCCTGCAGTCGATCTTGAAGAATGCAGCACAGCAAGCCGTTTTTTTTTTTTTTTTTTTTTCCCAAGGGTAGGAGAAAGCATCGAATGAGATCATGATATCATAATGAGATCTCAAAAGCTTATAATCACTACTGCCTACTGCTGACTTAGTTCAATATGTTTACAGTAAGTGGAAGAAGGGGGGCCACTTGAAGATGAGGCCATCGCTCTTGAGCGGCCAATGGCCAGGCCAGTGCAACGACTTGGCCAAACCGTCCCAACAGCCACTGGCCGAGCTGCCGTTTGATGCTTGCGATTCGCCAAGAGTCATGAGGTGGCAACGTATCTGGGCAGGTTTCAAATCATGGAGTGCTGCCATGAACTACCGGGTGTTTTTTTTTCAATTGAACAGGCATAATCCCGATGTCCTTTTCTTGTGGGAGTGGGTCAAGGAACACCTAAGACTGGCTCCTGAGTTGGCAGTGGAAAGAATGCGAAGCCAGAGGCATACTGCCCGTGGCAACCGGTTCTTGGGGGTGATTCCACCATCATAAATGGTCAGGAAGTCGCTGAAACCACCTGTTTTCTGCCACCGTAGGGGCCGATGCCCCGACCGTTCTGGCGCCCGGTTCGGCGACGCGACGAACGGAACGGAACACGTCGCGGCGAACGCCGAGGGTTCGGCTGGTCTCGGTTGGAACGGCTCACGGCAGACAGGAACACAACTGGGTTCCTCACTGTGAAGGAGAGGTGGAAGGTGAACCCGGGACCTTCCTGGGGGTACCTATCAAGTTTTTTTTCAGGTCCTTCAACCTCTGGTGAAGGTTGGAAGACAGTTGTTAGTCATGATGTGATGCATTCATCCATCCGCCTCAACAGCGAACGCATCGGGTCCCGGCCCAGGTGAGCTTGCAATTCTGACCGAGGTCTGGTCGACCCCGGGTGGCTGGGTGGTGCTGCCTGGGAGGAAAAACAGCAAAAGACCATGTCCTTGTTTTTGTTTTCTCTTTTTCACACTTCAACTATCTATAAACAATATTGAATGTACAAGCACCTGAGAGCCTCAGAGTGCGACGTCTCATTTTTGTTGGATCCGCTCACAGCCTTTGAAGCCGCGTGGTGCACACTGCAAGACCATTCCTTTTGTGGGTTTGGGTTGATTTTAGCAATGCATGATAGTTTAATAGTCATTGTCGATCATGGAAACTGTCCAAATGAAGCTATGATACCAAGTGTTTTTTTCAGTCCTCTGTTTGGAAGAGAGGGTCGCCGCCTTTGGGGCTGCGCAAAGCCGAAACACTCCGAGCCAACCCAAAGCGACCACAGCTTCTTCCCAGTGCACCGGAGCTTCCTCCCCCACAGGTCGGCCAGGGGAGCCACACAGGGAGAAAAGCAGGTCCTGAAGGCTTCCCACCATGGCCGGACAGATCGATAGCACGAAAAGGCTTGTTGTTCCCAACTGGTGCCGTATTCAGGAGAGTCTGGGGATGTCTGGGGTGTTTGAGGCCGAATTCATACCATAAGAAGCAATTTGACGCGTCTTTTCATCAGAAAGAGGCAAGGCTTTGGGTGGTTCGGGGGTTCAAAATAGGGCTCACTCGGGATTTCCAGTATTTCCGCCAAGAGGAAGGTTTAGGAACATGGTTTGCCAAGAGACGTCCAGATTCGGCTTGAGCCGAGTTGGGTCCAGCGATCAAAAAAGCGGGTTGGGAACAACTTGCAAGCACAGATTGTACAGAGAAGGAGGGAATGGACAGTTGCCACTCTGTTTTAATATACTGTATCGTAATTACAATCTTTGCACTACGACTTCGACTAGTACGACTTCAGGTTTGAGTTGTATCTGTATTTGGGTCCTCTCAGAATGGAACGATCATGGAATGCAAGAAACATCAAAAACTATTGTGAGAGGGGAGCGCATATGCACAACATCAAGCAGCGAAACAGTTCATGCACACTGCTGACCGATGTCAACTGTCAGAGGATGTAGCGACGCAAAGTTGGCAAGATCAGCTGGACTGAACCCCTGGAACCAGGGGTTCTTTATAGAAGACCTGATGCTGACATAGACGCGGTCGCTCGCTGTGGTGCTAAATTCCAATGTGTGAGGGACACCCAAGAAAGCACTAGAATATATATATATATATAAATACACAATCTATTGTACTTGTTGGTTGCAGAATAGTTTATCCTTGGCAGACTACTGACTCATTGAACGCAAGCAGAGAGGGTAAACTGAGGCCTATGAGAAGTTTTGAGTCATGAGAACTCTGGTGGTTTGAATGGGGATGAAGGAGGATATAGATATATAGATTTTACATAATAGATATATAGATATAGGAATGTCCGTTCGGACTATGGGGATACTGTAAATAGATGGCTCATACCCACTTGCCGCCTAGTCGGTCGTTTGTACTTGCCGTTCGGTTGGGAGCAGGTTCCGGCAAAAGAGTTCTGACGACATCTGGGGAATCCTTCAATAGAGAGCGACGACTCGGCTACAAAAAAGAGTTGTTCTGTTTTCTTTCAGCTGCCACAAGCGATTTGCGCCACAAGAGCATGGAAGAAACAGTCCCAAAGGCGGTCAATGAAAAACAGCCCGGCTCAATGAGCGGGAATTGCTCCGAGACAGTCGTGACAGAAAAGATCTCGAAGGGGTTGGGTGGCCCGTTGGTTCCAGATGTACAAAAGGACAATCCAGACGAAGGTTGGCATGAACTAAAAACATCCAGAAACTCCTGGGAGTTGGTTGTCCAAAAACCTGTCCACAGCACGTGACTCGGGACTCGTCTGGAGCGAGACGAAGGGGACTCGTCTGGACAGTGGTGCTTTCCTCTCATGATCCAATCAAACTTCTCAGCAATGAAATGTGTTTGTTTCGATGAGGATGCGTTTCTTTTTAGCTGAGAAAGAGCGCAGCCAAAGTCAGCTCGAGCAACAATAGGCGTCACAAGACTCCGGCGCGGTGATCACGACTTTTGTGGACTTCATTGAGTTGACCAGGGCCCGCACGGTTTAGGATAATTGTAATATATACTGTGTATATATGCATTGGTTGCCTCTAAATTCGGGCCGGCCGGCCAGATCTATATAATTCTAAGCCTAAGGACTTTCAGAAAATCAATTACACACTGTCATCTGTGCGTGAGATCCTTCTGCAGGGTGCACGTAGTGGAATCGCTGGAATCGCCATGAAAGCAGCAAGCTTAGTGCAAGGGCAGCTGGTGACTCCTGCAGTGTTATTTCTGGATCTTTCTTCAGCGAAGAACGTCCAGTCACCTGAAGTGTTCTTCCACCCGCTCTTCCATGTGTCCAGTCTCTAGTCCAACACCATTCCAATCTATCCTCAACCATGAGTTATAGTTTTCTAGTGCAGTCTTTTTGCTCCAGCGTCAAAGTTGATCTCTCAACAACGGCCTCTCGTTGGTATTATACCACTGACCGTTTGGACTTCTGTGCAACTTCTGTGCGACCCTGACACCTCCCAAATCCTGATCCCTTCGCGCCCAAAGGGTCCACAGCAGTCTTATAGGAACTGCCTGCCACTGGTCTCCCCTCAGAAACACCGGTCTCTCGGTGCGCACAACACGTGCCGAATGGGCCGAAGCCACCTGTGCAGAGTCCACAGGTGAGCCCATCTCCAGGGTCTCATGTGGTGCTGCGCGACTCCGAAGGCACTCAGAAGGTCGGACGGTCGCTGCGGCCGAAGCGGCGAAGCGGCGAGGCGATTCGGAAGGTCGCGTTGACCAGCGCGGTTGGTGGAGCCTTTGGTTGGTGGGGTTGGCGATGGTTGTACATATGACATCAATATGATATGTGTATTTTTTTTTTCACCTGGTCATCCCAGAAAAAGGTGGACGTCGATGCGTTGCAGAGCAGCCCAATGGTATGAAAGTTCAATGTTTCGGGGTGTGCCAAGATCTCCAAGATGACCGGAGAAACCGAGATCAGTCAACGTTGGTGGGTGAAGAACGACGTTTGCAGCTTCACGCCGCTGAAGATTGGACAGTCAACGTTGGATCGACATGTAACACATTACTGGTGACTTCCAGCGCTCAGCATTCGATGTTCTACCGAATGCTGAGCTACTTCGACCGAATATGAATTCAGGCCCGACCAGGTCTCATACTCCGACCAGGTGACCGGATCAGTTCTGGCATTCTGAGGGTTTCCCAAAGAACCTGGGCTGGTGTCTCTTGCTTTGAGACCTGCATGGCACCCTGGTTTTTTCAGAGACAGACCCCTGGGGAGTGCGCGCCGGGCCATTCCGGCCGTTGAGACGCTGTCGGCTGTCGGCGGTTGAGCTGTTTTGGGTGGCGCCGAACGGCTCTCCGGAGCTGCGAAGGGATGCTTCGACCCGTGGTGAGTTCCGTTTCATGCCGCCACAGATGACCAGAGGATGATCGTTCTGTGTTGAGGTGGAACCATTGGTTATGATGGTGAGCCATAAAAAAACCTAAAAAGAACAGAACCCGCCAGTCGTGGATCGAAGCTCATAGTAAACAAAGTCGATCGCATCCGCTCAGGTCTTCTTCCTGAATGCTGGAAGTCGGCCAGATCTGCGAATGGGGAAGTCAGGGGCTCGAACGAAGAGCCGGGAAACCAACTCTCAACAGTTCACCCCCGGTTTCGAGCTGAAGAAGAGTTCGCCTATAGGTCTAGGTGAAGAGCTTTTTGAGGTCTCCCTCGACAAAGATTTGCTATCGAAGTGAGCAATCCCCGTTCCTATCCAGGATCTTTCCAGAGGCGCCGTGCATGCCGTGCACTCCCCCCACTCCAAGCAACGCCAGATGACCGTCCTTCCGATGCCGAGCCGAGCCGACCGAGCGAACTCCGAGGTATCCTCCCATCCCCTTTGAGATGGTGCTCCATTCCCCCTACGGCGCCGTCTTGAGGCACGGCTGAGACGTGGTGACTGCCAGCAGCTGGCTAAGAGTCAGTCAACAGCCGAAACAGGTCACGTGAATGGGCGTCGAATCGATCTATAGAAGGAATGTCGTCAACTTCGAATGGACAGCTTTGTCTAAGGACCCCACCAGTCGTGTTTCAGGACAAATTGGATCGATCTAGTGAAGGACCCAACGATACACATCGAGGACAAATGATGAAGGCAGTGGAACAGGACTGTCCCCCTCGGGGGCCGAACGGAGTGGCCGAACTCGGCCCACCAACTACCCTGGTCGATCAGCGAAGGATTTGGAGGGATCAACTGATCTTGGGATGCGCGAGAGCACCGTCGGAGCACCTTCTTTTTTCAAGAGATCTCGGTCAACAGCTGCTTGCCGAGGGTCTAGGCCATTCAACAGAGGTCGTCAGGCCCCAATTCCTGATGTTTTGTGTAGGGATTGGATTCTATCTTATCAGTATATAATTACAGGTGTTCTCTACCAGGTTTTGGCTGTAGTACATCAATTCATCAGTCTCCACCTTCTGTACACATCGTCAATAGCGACAAGAAGGCATTTGAGGTGGTGTTTGTCTAGCTCTTGCTCCGGAGGGAGTTCCCCAACCCCAGGGGGGTTAAACAGGGAGCCAAAAAGCTACAGGGAGTTCCCCAACCCCTTGCTAGTTGTGGTTTTGCACAGGGCGCTGGGACTACTCAAGTGGTGCCGTTGCACTAGCGGAGGCTCAAGCGCATGGTCCAGGTTTGAATCTGATGAGATACAGACACTGATGACCTGACACATGAGATACAGCAGCCGACTATATAGTTGCTTTGACTGAGTAGTCACGGTAGGCACTCCTCTTTTTTCAGCTCATGGACTTGGCAAGCTTTGAGAGAGCTGAACTGCTTATGTTAGACTCCTTGGGTGTGGAGATGATCCTTCACATCTTATCTGGCTATTGCTATCCGCTGGATATCTTGCGGGTTGGGAGCACCAAGCAGCTTCACTATCAGTTCCTGTCCTTCCTCCCTTTGAGCTTGTCAAGATTTCCACTGGGCTGCCGTGTGTGTGTGCGAAGGGAAGGGAGGAGCTCGTCCGTGCCTTTGATGCTGTCAATCGTATAGATTTGACTGAAGCAACAATAGGGCAAATTATAGGGCAAGAAGGAGTGGTAGCTGCCAAACATGCAACCAACGGGATTGAGGTGTCTTTCGATAATTTGGCCAAGAAGGTGTGGTTGGAACCAATGTGCTTATTTCATGTGGGTGTTCCTCCTCGACGAGACGACACATCAGATACACGTTTTTTCCCTGGACAGAAAGTACGAGCCACAAACAGCTTCTCAATCTCCAACTTGAGGGTCGGAACGATTGAACTGCGCTCTCCTCCAGTGGAGCAACAACTGGTGGTCCGCTAGCTGCTGGGCAATCAGAGAAGCTGCGAAGCAGTGGACGAGTTGCATAATTATAAGATGCCTTCCTTCTTCGGGTGCTCAGCCAAGAATTGCGATCTCTCCCTGGAGCGAGGAATTCGTGGGCGTCCCCATGTGCAAGTGCTTGAGAGGAACCTGGTGGAACGAAGGTTTTGATGCGGCAAACCGCGATGACTACTTCGAGTACATGGATCGTTTTTGTGGAATGGTTGGAATCGTCGATCGGGTGCGACCAACGGAGTTCGAGTGTGCTTCCCGGACTCCCAGCTTTCCTTGTGGTATGAACCGCCCTGTCTGGTGATTTGGGATCTCCGTACT